GATTTTTTAGAACCTTTAGCTCAGGTTACATTGCTTTATTTTTCACCTTGTGCGTCAAAAAGGACATCCACCTCCACCTGTCTGCCATTAAGCTTACACACCTGGTTTGAATAATCAACTAATGGAAACCCGAAAGAGCAGGATCTTTAAATATCAGGAATGCTCAGTCATCCAGCTAAATGGACATTCAGCAGCAAAATGTTTTAATCCACTCTTTTTGCCCCAGTAGAGGCTATCTTCATATATATAAAATAAGTCAAAGTTAAAAAAACTTAGAAGTCATTATTAAATTGGCATCTTATATTAATTCTGCGCTGTATAAAAATAACATGAATGTAAATATGCATCAGTGGCCACATCTGGAGCCCATACAGGAAGAGTCAGAGCAAGAAGATGAAATCGAAGAAAGCAAAACAGGAGGAGTAAAGGAGGAGGACTGTCAAACTCAAGTACGTGTGGAGAAAAAAGAGGTTTTAAAAGAAGACTTGAGTGAAGAAGACGAAGATGATACTGCTCCGCTGAGGGTTCTGAGGCCTAGGCGACTGTCTCGTTTCCTGAGCCAAGAGAGTTTTCTTCAAACGCAATCTACCCACAATCACCAGGAGGAATTGGAGAATTTCTCTGTGTTAGATGGGAGCGCACATGCAGTGGATTTAAGTGATGAAGCTACCCCACCAGAGCAGACAAGGTCAGGAAATGAGGAGAGGTCAAGAAGTGGTCAGCTGAGAATAAAAGTAAGTATATTTAAGTAATTTTTATATTTAAATGAAATGTCTGACAACACAACTACAATGGAAAAAGGGGTGATGCTCTTCTAAACTGTTTTTAAAGTTCTCCAAGATCAAATGGCAAAAGCGCAGACCACCTAAACAGTCATTGCAGCAAAAGGCAAAAGCACCCTCAGTGCAGCAAAAGAGGAAAAGGAACAAGAAAACATCTCTGGTTGTAAGTGTTCTTTTCAAGGAAAGATGTTTTAACTTTCAAAAATAGAAATTATAATGTGGTTTTATTTATTTTATTTTTTTGTCAAATATCTTCAAAGGAGGAGCCATTTCCTCAGTGGCTGGTGGACCTGATGGTCAGCACTGAAGAGGCAACAACTCACCAACTGGTGGTTGAGTAACACTCTTCATGGGCCTCAGAAGGTGAACTTGAAACAACCCTATGACTCCGCTGGTGAACACTGACTGTAGAATAAACTCGTCACAGCTAACATGCCATATTAAGGGGTTGGCACTACCAGAGGGTAAAGTCCACGTGCAATGTGCAAGTCATTGTTTCTCTTTTTTAAATCCGTATCATTGAATAAACAAGGTACAATCAGGAAAAGTGAAATACTGAGGCTATTCATTTCATGATGAAAACACTTGTTCAGTTAGTCAATGTTTTTGTTTAGTGTTTTTTTTTAAAAAAACAAAACAAAAAAAAAACCTGTTTAGATATATTCGGCATGTGTCTCCTGACGGGGGGGGGGTTTGGGATAGGTTCCTTTAGCTTGTTTGCTGAAAGTTTGAGTTGATGCTTTAAGGTGGGGGGGTTAAATATTGGAGGGGTGTCGGTCTCTTGATAACTAGACATGTAAAAGTCAAATGAAGAGACTGATGGCATTTTTATACTCTTACTCTTGGTGTGTGGTAAAAAAAAAAAGGTATTTTATGTATAAAATACTTTTTTTTTTTTTTTCTAGAGGTGGAAGTATTCAGCTCCTTCAGTTTAAAAATAATAATAAGAGGGGGGGCGGGGAATAAAACGGTTCAAAAATGGCACCTGTGAGTCCACTATTACTGGAATATTTTTACTGACTCAATTACAGTAAGCAGTGTTTTAATGTACTGGTTGGTCAAAGGGAAGTCATTCTAACATCACAAATGCGTTATACTGTATTTGAACTTATTTAACTAAGATCATCACATCATGAGCTTTTAATTTGGTTTTGTGTGTCAAGTTTTATTCTGCAAAGTAACTTGTAAATGTCAAATGTGGTGGCAGTATAATATTTGCTTCTCCCACATGGTGAAGTAAATGTATAAAGTAGCATGAAATGGATGTAGTAAAGTACAAGTACCTAAAGTGTCTTTTAGTGAACGTCTTAATGAAAATAGACTTACTTTCCACCACTGCTCTTTTTCAATAAACGTATTCCACTCTCCCGACAGTTATTCCAAAATCGGTGAGTTTATTTCACACTTTCTGTATTTCTTCCTCAATATTTCACCCAATCATTCTCTAATCTAAATCCCAAACAATTATAACTTAAAATAACCATCCTATACATGTATACACAGCCCATATGCTTTTTTTTTTTTTTATTGGGCCGAAAAACCGCCTTCTCACCACCATCAGCAACCAGCACCCTGACTGACCATGCATGAAGGGTCACTGCTAAATATTCATCTCATTTACATGAACATGCTGAAGCTCATGGGAACATACTGTAAAAAAAATACTGTACTATATAATCCTGATTACTTTATTGGTCTTTCCTCATTGAAACATTAGTGGGTAGTGTTGGGCATCAGTTTTCTGTTTCAAAAACACAAAAGTTACAAGAAAAAGCTTGAGGTCAGAGTACACAGCATGAGTGGTGTTCGTCTGTATATCACAAATAGAGTAAGTCGAGGAATCTGGCATTTGCCATGGACAAATACTATACCAAGGAACCAAGCAATTACTCCGGTCTTTCTTTAGACAAACATGTTGTGAATCTCGCAGTGCAATCCATAATTTTAGGGTTATGCAATGCTGAAGATGTCAGTGATCTTGTTTATCTGTCTGCCTGATAAGAGGAACCTTCACCAAAGAGACTAGGGGGACAAATAGGGTTTCAGTGCGAAAATAGTGTTCAAGAAAATCTGATACTTGACAAAATAAGAGTTTGTCAACATAATCACAGGTCTCTATCTCATAGCCTCTAACTTCCCAGATTATCTAGTATTTCTTATTGTGGATGTTCATTGCTACTTAATTGGTAAATTTCTTTAAAAAGCAGTTTCCATGTTTGTCCCAAGTAGGCAATGTTGTGATTGTTTTTATAACCTCAAAGGTAAAGACAAAAATCAGTAATTTGCTCCAAAAACAGGGTTGTTTTGATGTACAATCACTTTATGTTCCAAAGTCAATATTGACAACAGACCTTGTGAACCTGGATCTACGCACGTCAAGCAGGGTCATCCACCGTTTACGGCAGCTTTGTCAAAAATATTTTATATCTGCGGTCAGTGTGTCAATTATTAACCCCTCTGGAGGCCAGATCTCCATTTAAATAGTGCTGGTTCAGAAAAATCAGTGTAGAAGGAAACGTACAGTCAAACTGAGCAGCTTGCAGAGCCAACATATTTTATCTGAATCCTGGAGATGTCTGGATTATGTGAGAAGGTGACATTTGTGGCAGCGGTGACACTGGCTGTCTTGGCAGCGGTGAGGTCATCCCCAGTGGTGGGATCGGAGCCTATCCGCTGTGCCACCTGTACGCAGGAGAAACTGAACGACTGTCCTGCAATCCCAGCAGACTGCAAGCAGGTGCTAAGGGAGCCCGGCTGTGGCTGTTGCATGGCCTGCGCTCTGGAGAAAGGAGCGTCCTGTGGGGTTCACACAGCCCACTGTGGTGAGGGTCTCCGCTGTACTCCCAGGCCTGGTGAGGCCAGGCCGCTCCATGCTCTGACCAGAGGAGAGGGGGTCTGCACTGAAGACCTGGGCCAAGGTAGTCTCTGTGTTTCATTGATTTTCTCTTTTGTATGCGTTCACTGTGAATATTAATGTGTAAGATCTTAAAAAGTCAAAATGTGGCAATAAAGCAACAAAGGAAAAATTACAAATCTAAAATGTCTGATCAACTGTAATCTTTTTAACATTAAAGTCAAAATTAATTTTTGAAACCTTTACAGAGGAAGCTGATGGAGTCCCTGATCACAGCTCCCTACACTACATGTTGGGTCTCAACCTTCCCTTTGACAACCAAGACACTGCTGAGGGCCAGGAGAGTATCAAGACCATGGTCAATGCCATCCGCAACAAGCTGGTACAACAGGTGAGGAAAAAAGATCAACCTAATTAATGAAGACGATTCAAAGTAATTTACCTCCTTTCCACTAGAGGGAACACTTGGTTTTGAGTGCACATGGAGATAACTGGGATTAACACAATTTTGCAGTGAATAATATGGTGTATTTGTTTATATGTGAGTGTGGTTCTCACTGTTTGTCTTTCTTTCATGCACAGGGTCCCTGTCACATTGAGCTGCATGCAGCACTGGACATAATAGCCAGCTCTCAGCAGAAACTGGGAGAGAAGTTCACAACTTTCTATCTCCCCAACTGTGATAAGCACGGCTTCTACAAGGCCAAGCAGGTGAGAATTTTAGGACTTCACAAAAAGAGAAAAAATCATCCCCCCTGTTGAGAGAGATTCGTCCTTAACTACCGGGTGACTTATTCATGTGGTTTCCCCATCTCTGTTTCTCTTCCAGTGTGAGTCATCTCTGGTTGGGCCACCCGCTCGCTGCTGGTGTGTCTCTTCCTGGAATGGGAAGAAGATCCCTGGATCGAGTGACCTGCTGGGTGACTCAGAGTGTCATCAAGAAGTCGCTTACTGAAGGATGGACACTGTTGTCACTTATAAACACGCTCACACACACACACACAGGCACATACATAAACACACGTAGACACAAGCAAACGTGTGTCATAACTTAACATCCGGTAAAAGTGTAAATCAACATGAAACCACCTGATGAACTGACAAAATGTAACATCCTATTTCAGAGGAGAAAATTTCCTCTCATTTTATTTACATGATGTATGTATCAAGACTTATTTATTCAGTGCTTGTATATTCTTTCTAACATTAACCATTTGTCATTTTTAGATATTTTATATGTTTGCCTATTTTTTGTGATTGTAAATAGGGCGACACTGTATACATTTGTGTTTCTGACTAAATAACTCCATTGCTCAAAACCACAGGTCCAAAGTTCTGCCAAGCCCATTTCAGTCTTCAGGATCTTTTTTTTTTTTATTCATTCAAAACTGGAGTTGTGCACAGCACGAAACAACACAGCCGCTCATTCATTCAACATTGTTGACATTGTCTGAATGTATCTCCATTGGCGTTTCCTCAATGGGTATTGGGGGAAATACTTAAAGTGCCGCAAGTATGTGCTCGGTGGCCACGCACAAACATATCAGGACTCATCCAAGCCACCGTGAGGTTTGGGATAGGTTGTTCTGCATTTGTCTACCTCTACTAGTCTCTGCAGGTCCACAGGTTTAGGATTACTGAGGGCTCTTCTCAGCTACACCTTTCTCATATTAGAGACTTTTTATTTGTCTTTTTTGACCCATCGCATCTATTCAAGTATTTATTATGATTCACTCATGTATTTATGCTTTTGTTTGCTTTTGAGCTTGTGTGCAATGGGATAAATTGTTTGTGAGGAATGCTGCTATTTCATTATTGGTTTTATGGAAACAATGTAATATTCTTCTAATTCTGTGGATGTGTATTACAATTAAAATGTTATTTCATCATGATGGGGTCATGTGTGAATGTGTTTTTCCGCATCCAAAATGGTGTTTCAAACACACTCAAAACAAGAGAAGATGAAGATAAGTAAAAATGAAAATGCAATACCTGGATAACTTTATACTGCCTTTATTAAGTAAAAATAGACCTCTGAGGGTTGCATTGTTCATGCAAATAGTGTATTTACTCAAACCAAGGCAAGTGATGAAAATGATCACCGGCTACACAGAGATCAGAGATAATGGTTTGTGGCCTTTATCCCAGAAATTCAGCTTATGCAAATTGACAACAAAACAGTAACAACCACAGTACAGATTAAGGGAATTGTCCCTCTTTCTGTGGCTTGAGATCCAGCATAAAAAAAACTTAATACGCACTGTAGTGTTCGAGCTGCACAGTCCAGTCCAACTCCCAGAGGAGCAGGACGCGACCGGAAGAAATGGAATTCATAGGAATAGGAATTCATAGTAAGGCACTGCATGCTTAGTCTGAAAGACATATTCATACATACATACATTTTATGGTTGTTGTTGACCCCCCACAATGTCCTCGTAACAAATCACAAGCATACAAATTATGATTACACATCACAAGCGTGTACACATGTGCAATGCCGCTTAATTGTGCGTAAATGAAGAGCACTCTCATCAATGTTTGTGACAGGTACGAATGTCTCCGCGTTTTATAATCAGAAGAGGGCTTCTGAGATAAAGTGTTTCCTCTTCTCAGAAGCTGTCCTCGTTGGGTCAGAGACAAACAGCTTATGAAGAATCCATCCATCGCAGAAATGTTCTGACTGTATCTGTGACACGGAGGCTTTTTCCTCCTGGTACTCTTCCTCTGTTCTCCATGCTCTGCCTCAGAAAAGGTCCCGCAGGCAGCCAATAGAAACATCCATAAATCGGCTGAGCCATCTCTTGTCCCTTCTCCAAATATCCTCAGTGTCTCCATTTGTTTACAATTCTCCTTGCTCTCACTCCCACCCTCCCTCCCTCCATCCAGCTCTGCTCCTATTGGCTCTCGGAGTTGTAGTACTGGGCGTCTCCTCGCTCCTTCCCATCAAAACCTGGCAAAGGCTGCCCATATTTGTCCACACACCAACAGAAGCCTCGCTTTCTGCCTTTGGATGGACGGCACTGAAAGTGAAGAGGGGACAAGGTGAAGGGGGGGAAGACAAATGGGGGATTGGGGGGTAATGTGCAATGTGCAAATCCAGATGAATATACAGCATTACAGGTAATAAGCCACTTTACTCAATGAAGTAGAACAGCAATAGTTAAGAGGCATTAATGGTCAGATTGTGCTGAGTAGACGCAGCCTTGGTTATCAACACGCTGTGGTATTTTGAGCTGCTTTTATGGTCTACCTCCTGTTACACACACATATAGAGACCTTTAAGGTAAACAGAAACCTGGTAAAATATTTGCTTAGCCCCGTTTGTGAACAACTGAGAACCAAGATCTATTTTCAGAAGCTGGTGGCCAGTGCGAATCATCTGTTGCTGATTATACCCCACTGCTCCAAATTATGGGTACTACAAATGACTTACAGAGTCTGTGGAGCTACCCAAGGGCTGTTATTTTACTGCCAATTTTACTAAAGGTCAACCTCCACTCTAGTAAAACATGCAGCCATTCATTTCAAGGGCTAAAGTAACTGTGCTGCTGCTCCACAAAGGAGTCAGAGCTGATCAGGAAGGAAGACATCCGGATTTAGTTCAATATTTCAGAGGGGGTTTGACTGAGAGGCTGAGCTGAGCTGAAGTAGGACTCCATTGTTGTCAGATCACCGTTGAATAGGAAATACAATAGATCATGCCATGTGTTGAATTTTAAAAACTCATATATTATCTTCACAACATTTTGTGTGAACATAAGGGGTTTAAAATGTTGGCTGTACACAAAAGTATCACAAATTGTTTGGTAAAGAAAACAGTGATCAAAACTAAGCAGTTTACTGAAAAAAAGTGCATCTGCTTCCAGCATTAAATCTGTCCTGGGTAGTTTTTTTTCCTCTAAAAGAACATTTACTGTTATTAAGAGCTGTAATAAGAGATGTTTTTACTTAAAATCATGCAAACGTCCAAATTAAACTGACCAACATAAAATATCTGCCACTCCTTCAGCGCCTCAGGGCTCAGTGCAGTACACTAGGTCCATTCTACATAAACAAAGACAATAAGCCTGCCGTTGTGGGGCTGGTTATGAGATGATTGCGGGTCAAGGAGAACACTTCCATTAAGCAGGAGGGACTGATATGTTATAAGAAAAGCTGCCTCGGTGATGCAGTGGCGCGGGAGCCCTAAGTGCCTCCATATGAATGCGTCAGAACCACTCATTTATTACAACCCGATCGTGGGTGAACCATGTGAGCGTGGGGATAGCTGCAGCTCTATTTTTGTGTTTGCTTCTCAAAAGTCCAGCAATTATGGGGGGAGTGCATCGGTTGCCGGTGGCCACCTTGACGTCTGTCTCCCTGGGAGGGTTCCCATTAAAAACGGCCATCGTCCCGGCCGTCAACCCCACTGGGGTTTGGCCCCTGTGGTTCCTGTCTCCAGTGCCAGTGGCTAGGGTCTACCTCACTGGTGTGGTGGTGCAGTGATGAGGCTCTAATAACTACCAATGAATACAGGAGGACAGCTACAAATCTGTAATTGTGCTGCGCGAGCCCTGAAGTTTGAGTCACTAGACTTCAGCAGTTAATCTTTGTTAATGCAACATGTAAAAAGGGAAATGCTGGTTTCCTTTTTACAGCCCTTCAAGATTGTAAACAAGTTTTTATCAAGCAGATGTTTGAATAATGTGCAGCCTCTCATGAAATTGATGCACAAATCTATATTTTAGTGATTTTAGAATGTGCTTTTTTTTACCTGCTTTTTCTTATAGAAGCCCTTCTTGTCACAGTTAGGTATGCGGAAACCTCTGGGGTTGAGAATGTCTGAAATCTTGAGGCTGCTGAGAATGCTCTCAATCTCTCTCCGACAGGGACCCTACAGGTGAGGGAACACATAGGCAGTTAGTGTACTTTCTCCAGTTCTTAAACATCTCCAGCACAAACTTCAAGAAAAATCAGAGTGCAGCTGATGTTGTTAGCACATGCTATTTCGTTTTGCAGTGTGATTTTGAGATGAACTCTGTTTTTTACTAAAGATGTTAACAAAGCTGACTCACGCTGCATCACACACTGCTCCGCTATAATACCTAAACAATGGTGGCTGCGATATCAAAGGGGCGACGGATGAGAAAGTAATTCATCTGACCGACTTGTAGTGGCTTAACAGTTTACGAAATCTGCTTAGAACTCTTATGCTTTACACAAAGAATGGGGGATAAAGTGAATTCAAAGAGCTCAAAGAAGGAGCCAAAAGGCTTGTCCTCAAGTCCAACTACTCCAGTCACTAATCAAAGCAACCAGTCAAAGCCCATTACTAGTGTGTGCTCACTTCCCTGGCCAAAGACTAGATCAAAATAGCAGCAGGGCTTCCCAACAGGCACTCACATAGGCCAATCCATCATTCGCTGGCTCCCAATACACCCGGCACGCGGACGCCTTGTGGCCAAACAACCGCCTGACCCAGGTCAGCCGCAGGGCCATCGTACCCGCTCTCTGCCATGCCATTCTACTGCTCACGATGCCTGCCAACCATCAGCACCACTACCCAAAACATTTCATCACCCGCAGGGGGAGAAAAACACCAAAACACAGAGGAAGAGGAGAAAAACATTCCTCCAGTATGGTCTGAAGACAGTAAAATATTGGTTGTGGTACTTACATACTCAGGCTCCTGTTTGGTCTCTAGAGAGAAGTTTTGTTGGTCTGTGATGAGTCGTCCCGGGAGCTCCTCCATTTTAAAGCTCTGGCTTCTCTTCTGCTGCTCCCTTCTCAGGACCTCTGATTTGGTAGAGGGGAAAAATGGATGGAGTGGAGGTCTCAGGGGTTGCACGGGTCTGTGGGTGCTGTACGAGGTTTGAAGGCCTGAGCCGGTGGAATTCCTCTCCTCGTCCTGGGTCTCAATATTGTCTGCTAAAGTTTCAGAACAAGATGTTTATTTACACAACAGTACACTAGGATATATAATATTACATTTAAGGAAGTTTGTTGTTTGTTTTTTTTGCTGGATTTCTGAATGCTGATTCAGACATAATGATTTTTTTCAAAAGCATTTCCTGAGATGACAATCTGCAAGATGACAACCACCACTTGATTCCAAATATGTCTGTACCTTAAACCTTGACTCCCTGTAGTCCCTTTCCCTTATGAGTACAAGCTAAGTAGTTACACTATCTCAGGGTAGACAAAATCAGTCTAATCTGAAAATCAGCATTTAGTCTTTGCTAATGGCTTTAGCGAGGTCCGGATCTTCAGCCTGAGCGGAACACCTTGAGTTTCACCTCTCCTTCAAACAATCAAATTCTTACTAGGGCTCTAAAATCTTATGCTTCAACCTGTCTCATCTTCCACATTCTCTTCCCATGAATGAAGAGAGGTTGTGAAATCAATTAGCGTTTTCAGCTGGATGTAGTCTACTGCTCTCATTGTATGTCACTTGATTATCACTTGTGCATCACAATAGACACATCCCCAAAATTGACATAATAAATTTCTAACTACTGCTCTGCTGCTTATCACCACGTCTGACTTTTTGTTTAAGCTTGTAACAGATAAACAAATAAATAAATAAATAAATAAACTGTACAGTTATTGCACATTGATGCGTGTATACAACTCTTTAAAAACGTTATTCGTCGTTAATAAACAGTTATAAATTATCTAAAGTGCGCAGGTGACGCATAGGCTATAAGAAAGTGCACGCACAAAAACTACCTGGCAGTTCGTTGACTGGAGGTGTTGGTCTGGGGATAAATCGCTTATTGGTAGCGTTTGCACAAATCCCCCGTCCCTCCAGTAGAGCCTGCAGAGGTTTCGTCTCTCCGGGCTGATGCTGACAAGTCAGTCCGGAGCCACATTTCCCGGTGTACACGCCGCACGGCTGGCCGAAGCTCAGCGCGCAGGTCATGCAGCAGCCGCAGCCCGGTTCGCGGATTTTCTCGGCGCAGTCCTTGGGTAAAGGCTTGCACAAAAGCCGCGCTCCAGCATCACATGGCTCGCATTTGATAACCGGTCCGACCGCACCTGACCTCCGGGTGAACGACGCCAGAACAAAAGTCATGCAAAATGCGCGAAAGCAGGAATCCATTGTGGCGTCTGAGAGCATATGTGTTGTCAAAGTGAGGAGCCGTTCTACTGTGGTGACTTTTCACTGGGCAGCTTCTCTCTCATTCACATAAGGCCGCCGGCCAAAACATCTCAATATATAGACCCCAGTGACTGTAGTCACACCCCCGAATAGCTTGTGGTCTACTGATGAATTGCCTCGACGGCCGTTTTTTTAAAGCCATCAGGGCAATATGACGGGGCTTTTACAGACCATTAGAATAACATGTACGGCATGGCTCTTTTAATTTATTTTGAATAAAATAAAAGTGGATCAACTTTTAGCCAACTTTTTAGCTGGCGGATTTAGTTATGGTAATAGTCCCGAATACATTTCCATATTTAATGCATTTGTCAAGGACATAATCATCGCCTACCACCCAAAAGAAAAACATACACAAATGTTTTTAATGTATGAACTCTCAGTTTGAAGGGCCCACACACGAGTAGGTCCAAGCATCTGCCGTGCATAGTTTCATTCATAGGGGGCGCCATTTGTGTGTGTGTGTGTGTGTGTGTGTGTGTGTGTGTGTGTGTGTGTGTCGGACATTTAGATCTTTCTCGTCCAGCTCTAATAATCTTACAGTGGATTTAAGAGGCTTAAATGGCCTCTGCTATGCTTATGTGCATTTTTTCCATGTTTGCATGTGTGTTTAGTGTTGTTACTTGTAAGTGTGTAAGTGTGTTTATGTACTAGTGTTCACAGGAGTATAGCCTATGTGTGTGCGTGTGTTTGCCTGTAGCCCAAGAAGCTGCTTCACATGACCCTGCATGACCTGTTTAAACGCATAAACTGTGACCAATCCATGGATAAGATGATTATTTTCAGCTTTGATGCATTATAAGCCACAACAGTGCAGCCCTGCAACAGAGGCCATATTAAATAATAGACAAAAAAACGGTGGACTGAGTACATTTACTCAAGTACTTAAGTACACTTCTGTGGTACTTGTATGCCTACTTTACTCCCCACTTCATTCTCCCCTACATTTTAGAGGCAAATATTGTACTTTGCACTCCACTAAGTTTATTTGATAACATATGAAATTCTCCACCTTGACCTTCTAGAATATTAAAATGCTGCAGACACATTAATTGATCAGTATAGGCTATATTATAATGTATGATAGGAAGTCAGTCTGCATAATGCCTACTTTTACTGTTGAAAATTGTCTGTACTTGTCTACATTTTACTACTCCCACCACAGTACATAACATGAATTTATACACTTAATATACACTGCTCAAATTAAGGGAAAACTTAAATCACACATTAGAGCTCAATGAATGAAATAGTTCGAAGTTCAAAGTCTTTACTGTACATTGTATAATTCATTCAGAAGAAAATGATGTTCAGTGGAAACCAAAATCAACGCAACTCATAATGTGACCCAGTAGTGAATATGGCCCCCACATGCCTGTAAGCACTTCCGACAACATCTGGGCTTGCTCCTGATGAAATGGCATGATCTCCTCCCAGACCTGGATCAGGGCATCCGTGAGCTCCTGAACAGTCTGTGGACCTACTTGGCAGCGTCTGATGCACCGATAATGTCCCAGAGGTTCTCAATTGGATTCAAGTCTGGGGAATGTTAGGGACAGTCAATTGCATCAATGCCTTCATCATCAAGGAACTGCCTACACATTTGGGCTAAATGAAGCTGGGCATTGTCCTGCACCAGGAGGAACCCAGGGCCAACTGGACCAGCATAAGGTCTCACAATGGCTCTGAGGATTTCATTGTGGTACCTAACAACAGACAGGATACTGTTGGCTAGCATGTGAAGGTCTGTGTGACCCTCCAAGGATATGCCTCCCCAAAACCACCAGTGACCATCCGCCAAACTGGTCATGCTGGGTGATGTTGCAGGCAGCATAGCCATAACCGCGGTGTCTCCAGACTCTTTCACCTGTGAGAACAGATCCCACTAGAGGATGTTGATCCCTCATTCCACCCTAGAGTCTGTTTCTGACAGTTTGGTCAGAAACATACCCACTGGAGGCCTTTTGTAGGGTTCTGGCAGTGCCCCGCCTGTTCCTCCTCTCACAAAGGAGCAGATACTGGTCCTGCTGCTGTGTTGATGCCCTTCTACAACCCTGTAGAGAATGTGTTGGGAGACACAGCAAACCTTCTTGTGACGGCATGTACAGATGTGCCATCCTGGAGTAGCTGGACTACCTGTGCAACTTGAACTGGCTGCAGGTTCTGACTCATGCCAAATCAGTAGTGACATGGACACTAGCAAAATGCAAAACTAGAGAACAATCAGTCAGGAAAGATAAAGAGAGAGCCACCACCAGCAAAACTATTCCCTCTTGGGGGGGGGGGTTATCTTGCTGTTGCCTCTACAATGCACCTGTTGTCACTTTCATTTGCACCAAAACAAGTGACAGTGACTCACAATCACTTATGCTTCCTAACTGGACAGATTGATATCCCTGAAGATTAAGTGACATTATGTTAAACTGTGACGATTAATTGTTTCCTACTTTTTTTGAGCAGTGTATAATATTAGCGAAAATCCAACAACTTTATTAACTGTGGGACAGGTCTACACGTCTCCTCTTGCTTGCGTGCTTGTATGCAGGTTATATAATGTAGATATAGTTTATCTCTTTATTCACCTTAAAGTCATTCTGCAGAACTGGCTTCAAAAGGTAACAAATAAACAGGTTGATGCTAAAATAAGTAGCATCAACCTGTACTTATGTGCAGACTTAATGTTTGTTGCAGGGCAGAATTTTAAAGATGATGTAAGTGATGAGATTTTATAGTAAACAAGTTTCATGGAGGCCAGAAGAAAGTCAAAGTACAATTCAGCCATCAGTGGAGAAACATGTAGAATATTTCACCAGCCGAACATAATTCAAGGTGATGGTATTCAGTGTTTTTGACTCCAAAAAACCCCAGCACCTTATGCACCCGTTCCTCACATATACAGTAAAGCAGTGGTCTCTGAAGTTGTTATTAGGAAGTGTGGCATAGTTGTGCCTGTTCTAGTCATTTGTCAGTGCTACAAAGCAGACCTTAAAATAAGGACACACACCACACGTGTAAGTGAGAAAATTCCTGAGTAATTACATCTGTGGCGTTTTTAGCTCCACTATTAATGGGTTACAGATGATAGATACATCAGCACAAAATGTAAAAAAAAATACCCCAAAAGAATAACAGCAGGAGAGGCGAGGTGTACAGTTCCTCTTTGCTTTTGAAATTTCTTGGAAGCCAGTGTCAAATCAGTTGCCAACAAGCCCTGGCGCACTGCCGCCTGCTAACAGACAGGTCTACAGCAGAGCAGTGCTCAGTGGAATGCCAAACATTTGTTTCATAAGCTGAAAAAAAGCCTGCTGATTTTCCTCCCTCTTTGGAAGCGAGTCTCTCGGCCACCTGTGCATATTCAGCATAGCAGAGGAGAGCATTGGGCACAGGGAGCCATGTACTTAAGGAATGTCATCCCGCAGAGCAGCCACTCAATAAAGATGGAGTGTGAAGAATTTGCTTTTGCACACACAGGATATTACTGTACATGAGTTTAACGAAACTTGCTTGCAAAGGCTAATTCAGAGCAACTTTCCACAGTTTTAAGATGATTTGGGCAAATCAGAAATACACTTGCTTGAAGCTCCGAGAGTGGTCTGCATTGGCTCCAGCAGTTGTGCTGCAGCTTACTGAACTGAAGCCCTTGGCTAAATTTTATGCCTGCCTCCTGGGTGTCACACATATTCTCAGTTTCTTCTAAAAGCCATAGGCTGCTGCTTTGCATAGCTGTGAGCCACTTTTTTAAATAATGCTGCTTTAACTATCACATTTCTATCGCCAGACAAACCATTACAATGCGGAAAGCTCAATTATTAAACATCAGTCTGTCCAAATTATGAAAAAAGATGTTATGTTATGTTCACAGCGCTGGTGGAACATTTTCTTGTCATGGAGATTTCCGGGTTTTTTTACATAAAAAGTCCTTCAGGGACTATTATTGAAAGTGTTATTATTTTGATTTTGATATTTTGTATTATTTTGATGTGTCATATGTAATAATGTTTCTTTTTGGGAGCTTCCCCATTTCTGACTCTGTTAGTGTGATTTTGTCTGTGTTCAGTGCAAAGACAGAGGTGATGGTGTTACTGTAGTGATGGGGAAAAGCACAAGAATCTGTATCAAGGGCCAAAGCTCACAGAATGAAAAGCACATAGTTTTATCAGCTGGAGGTCTGCAGAACATGTCTGGGTTAATCCACGAGAAGGATGTGTGTGCATGCCCCTAAGTCTCAAACACAGACCAACTCTTTCCCCATTCTTAGCTGGAATTTGAGAGGGCAGTGGGCGTCCGGTGTGTCTGTGTGTGTGTGGAGAGAGAGTGTGTGGGTACATATTGTATGTAGGTGTGTTGGAGTAAGAGGGGAGGGGCGGGCCTGTTTAGGAATGAGGCTGCCACAGATCACATGACAAGTCTGGTACGGTCATTGTTATTCTTTTTTCCCCCCACAGTCTTATGACCGCTTCTCATTTAAGTGTCCCCGTCTTAGGGCTTTTCAAGCAGAAACTCATTACAGATGAACTGGATGCAAAGGTCTCCATTATGATTAATACGATCTTTTCCCTTTGATTCTGCTCCGGCTGGCACCCATACAGAGCTTCAACAATTATCCGATTATTAGATGTGGTCTGAATAGTGGACAAAATAAAGAGCCAAAGGGGCAAAGGCCACCTTTCATCTTATTCCAAGGTTGGTTATTTATTTATTTTTTTTGGAGTGGTCTGTTCATGAAGCTGTCATGGTCCCCATTTCTGGAGGCTTGGCCCCTGAGGCAGTCCAAGGCTGTAATTAGGTCTGAGCAAAGTGGAGGATGGAGAGAGAGGAACACTCAGCACTCAGCCTGACGGATTGCTGAGTGCTTGGAAGTGGGCTGAGAGTGGCGCCGCTCACATTGGGCTCCAACCCCAACACCCACCCCCACCCCCTAGACAGTATCACTTCCTATGTCTGTATTTCTCTGTCTCATAAGGACACATTAGGTGAACATGTATCGTACATTAACTCACATGTTATTGT